AGTGTGTGTGTGTGTGTGTGATTTAATTACACATTTGTTCTCAGTAACTGTAACTGATTATATTTTGTAATTAAATTACGTAATTCCATTTCATGTAACTAGTTACTCCCCAACACTGTTAACTGGTTGCTAGGTGTTCTGATCTCACTCAGGTAAGCTGTATAACTGAACAAGACGCTGACCTGTGAAGTCCTCTAGAGCGCTCTCCTCCACCAGCAGTAGGGGGCGCACTGCTCTCTGCTCCAGTAGATTACGGGCCGCAGTGAGCGATGTGAAGATCTCCTGCTCCTGGAGGTCAAAGTTTAACCGACGCAGTCGCTCAAACAGGGTCCTCTTACATTCTTTCGTGGTGTTGGTCACAAATTTTACAGTGACTGGAGCCTGTCTTAATCTGGACAAGTACAGGTCTAATTAGTTTCTATGCAATACCAAACATGAAATCTCTCAACTACATTACAAATGGCACTGAAATAGTTATAATAAAATGAAATAGTCATTTGCATATTTGGTATGCTGATTTCAGGTTGGCAGACATGTATTTAAGCAGTGTGTTTGAAATAATACCCATTTGTTGATACAGCATACTGTCGATTACTTAATTTTAATTGATTTATTTGTTTTTAATCCATTTTCATGTTGATGAACTGATAGCGATTTATATAAGCCTATAACTTAAATTCAAAGATCAATCTTTTAGTCTATGCTGTTTATTAGTTGATACATGAGCAAAACTTCAAGAAACATTTGAAGTTGGCTTCCCATCCGTTAATCGCAATAAACTTTGTGCTCTGTTTATTTCGATATGAATCTATCAGTTTGATATGAAAAATATCAATTTTATAAAGAAATTCAAACAATACAGATCCCTGTAAAGGTGCCAGTCTAAATGGCAGCGCGGACCGCGGTGAACCGATCATCTCTCCCTCTTTACTACTAGTTACAGCACGAAATAAACATGAATGAACATCATGAGGTATTCGGCCAATCACAACGCACTGGATAGCTGGCCAATCACAGCACACCTCGCTTTTCAGACGGATGAGCTTTGTAAAAATCGACGCGTTTCAGAAAGGCGGGGCATAGAGGAGAAACAATAATGTACAGTATGTGGAAAATAATGTGTTTTTTTAACCTTAAACCGCCTAAACACATTTCATTACATCAAATACACAAAATAATGTTATTTTTAGCAACATCATATGACCACTTTAAAAGAAACCGTACAACTTGGTGAATTGAATCATGTCCCATGTAATCGCTCAGTCAGTGTTTCAACAATGGAAAACATTAAAAAGCTTGTAAACAATGTTACGTAACGTAACATTTTCCTCAGTACTTCGTTAGTTGGCTAGAAAATAAGAAATATAGAAAGAAACACTAAATACAGTATGCACTCATTTTAAACTATTATAGCAACTGACTAGAGTTCCATGTACAATTTGCAGCATTATGACATGAGTTGAGTTCGAATCGAAAATCTGTGAAATCTGTCCTATTTTTACCTCTAAAATATTTCATCAGACAGAA